AAACAGGGAGGAAAAAGGTGCATTAAGAATAAGCAATATATATACAGTATATCCAGGTATATACAGTATATCAAGATAAATAGGATTAAGGTGCAATTGTACATGTATCGCACACAATGAAGAACAAAATAAAAATAAGAAATAAAAAAATGAGAAATAAAAGTATGTACAATCCGGATGGCTTATATACAGGTGTAGAAATATTGCACATTCAGCATATTGCAAAGAATATTGCACAGGCAATAAATTAAAAGAAACTATAATGTAGCTACACAGTGGTTTTTACAGGAGTTATTGTGGTTATAGTGCATTATTATAGAGTCTGGTGGCAGCAGGAATGAATGACCTGCGGTAGCGCTCCTTCTTACAGACAGGGTGTCTAAGTCTCTGACTAAAGGAGCTGCTCAGCTCCTCTACAGTCTGGTGCAGGGGGTGAGAGGTGTTGTCCATGATGGATGTAAGTTTGGACAGCATCCTCCTCTCAGCCACTTGCTCCACTGAGTCCAGAGTGTTGTTTTCTGTTTATATTTGAGTTTATTTCTTGTTTACCCTCTTTTGCCCCCTTGTGTCAGTCTCCTTAGCTCTCTTCTAGATTCTTCCATCCACACTTGCTCCTTGTCTGCTTATTATCCCCAGTTTTTCTTCAGTCTCCTATTTATACCCCTCTTGTATAGTCTCTTATTGCTGGTTCCTCATCATTTCTTGGCTTTGTATGTGTTTTCCATGACATCTCCTGTTTCTCTGTATTTTGTGTTTGGACTTTGCTTCTGTTGCCTTGGATTGGCATTAAATCAGCAAAAACTCCTCTCTGCCTCCTTCCGTCTCTGTATTCGGGTTCTCCTCACACCTCCACACAACCTAACAGAAACCATTATTCCCACTGATGCAGCTACCAAAATAAATGTTATAAGAAAGCAGGTTATCATGGGCTATCCTGCACGAAGAATGACAAGTCAGACTTAACTATATTTTTTCTCTTTTGTGTCTATTTTTGATACCATTGTGCTTGCACCTTGTCTGATTTTGAGTCAAGGGGTAATTGCTGTGGAAGGCTGCTCTTAAAATCCTATTTTGCTTTTGTTGATTGTTGAAATACATTTAGCTGTTTGCCATTCTTGTGGTCCCTTTATTATATGCTATACTGTTTCTGGTTGATACTAGCCTGCAAGGACGACCCTGGATGATTTTCTTATTTCTCATATTTGCATGTATCAAAATAAAAGAAACATTTAAAGTAAGTGGCACTATGTTTTTTTTTAAATATAAAAATGAAACATCTTAAACTAATCCCATTGAAAGAAAAAAAACAGAAGTTTAACTACAACCTTGATTAATATTGCAACCCTTGATAAAGTCAACAACACAGGCAGTGTGAAAGCTTTTGTGTAATTTAGAGCTAGTGTCCTACAGTTTGCTGTTAAGATAGCCTTCATCAGTGTTGAACAGTGTAATCTACAAAGAATGCATGAAATGTAACTCTTAACCACAATTAGCAAGCAAGCAATCTATGCTGAAGGCAAAAAATAAAAGTGAAGGCAGCTTAATGTCTCGTTTGTTCTTAATTACTGCACTAAGGCCAGCCACTCAAATCCCCTTACTTAAAGATATTTTAATGTTTGGATGCTTTAACAATGCCATACAGGACTTCTCTGCAGACTCCATTCCAGAGAAACACAGATACATACAGAATCAGCAAACATCTATGCACACATTCATACATAAGGTCTCAATAAAACACCTTAAAAAAAACATTCAGAAGCAGGAACTTGAATAAAAATGACTGGTGAAAATCTAAAACTATTTTCAATTCGTGGTCTGACATGAGAGAGTTAGAAAAAAAATATTTGGACTATTTTGCAGTCAAGGTAGAGGAATAGGAAACCCTTCATTAAAATCTTCAGAAAGGTGTTGGACAAATAGCAAGAGTCTGGTGAAGAGAAGTTGTTATTTTTAATTTCAAAGATCTTATTTTTAAGATGGTAATAACATTTGTTATTTATAAATCTGGTAATATGAAAATCCTGGTCAGATCAACCCACATCCCCCACAATTCAAATGTCTAGAAACATGCACACTATTACATTATTATAATCTACATGACACATCATTAGTTTCCTTGTCCACCATTCCTGAGAGGAGAAAAAGGGTTGTCTTCTAACTTAAAGTGGTCAAACCAGTTAAGCTTCTCCTGCAGACATGCACCACAGTGTAACCTTCGACACACTCCACACTGAATGAACCGCCCCATACAGTTATATGGGGCCAAAGGTATGTTGCCTCTTAAGAATGAGGATGAGAAACTTGTTTGTCAGGAAACGGTTTATACAAAGACAAGAGTATACACCATCCACTGCTCACACAATCCACCTATGGGAAGCAAGTTATCTGAGTGCCTCTGTCGTGACAGAGAAGGTACAGGTACTGTAGGAGCTTTTTTTTTGTTATTTTCTCTTTACTATAAAAAAGAGACTTTTGTACTTTAACCTGTGTCATTTGTTGCAGTTACTCTGTATTTATATAGAGTCCAAACAGGAAGTTTCAGGATTATGTGAGGCTCAATCAGAGACAGGTAGAGGAACAGAGAGCTGAGGGAGAGAGGTGAGAGAGAAATGAGGTGGGGCATATACTGAGTCAGGGCACTGACGTGCTCTGTTGTGCAGATTTTTTATGAGTCATTAACTCGCTGCCTACTTTTACAAGGTGTGATACGCTTTGACGGATAGTGGAAATAAAAAGCTTGGTGACGCTTTAACAGCCATAGATTCCTCAACACAGTAAGTAATCAAGAAATAATTTAAATAAGATTTTTGATTTGATTATAAGTGGTAGTGAAACATGTTTATTGCTTAAATCTTTCTTTTGTTTTTCCCAATCAATCCTGCTAACTTTTGGGAAGACCTGTTTAGGTTCTGTGTCTTTAAATAAACTTAACGGATGAATTACAAACTTCCTAAATTTAAAAGTTATTGTAGGAAACCAACCTAATCTGATCTGTATACTTTTGAGTGTCCCTCAAAAATAATTGTAGCCTAATATATTTCTCTTTTTACCAGGCCATAAACAGAGGAAAAAACCCAGGAAACAGCCTCTCTCTGTTTGTCTCTGTTGGCTGCTTCCATAGCAACTTCTGTCGTGATAACACCAAGTTAATTTCTAAAACACACACCAAAAAAAAAAAAAAAAGAACATCACAAAGAGAGCAACAATGCACCTTCCTCCCGAGGCGGCTGGAAAGGATTCTGTGTAGAAATATACTGTAGAACTCCTGTAGATCTGATGAACAATGTTTCTTCTCAAATGGCCCGTTTGGTGCATTTACTTCATTCTGTGCTCTTCATCCTCTGGCTTGGAGATCATAGAACATCACAGCGATGCAGTCATTTGCCAACAGGTATTGTATGATATACTGCTTGGTTGCGCTCAAAATTACATTTCAGTGGGATGAAATACTGTTTTTACTTTAATGTCTTGCAGCTTTTAATTTCCTTCTACTGTAAGCTTTGCAGTGTTGACTTTTAATTTCCCTTGGCGGAGGTCACATGTTACATTGATGAAATTAAATGAAAAACTGATTGTGAGATATGGCCATCCACCAGTTTGTTGAAGCTTGGGAGTGTTGTAGACAGAACAAAAAATATTTGCTGTCTGTTTAATTCTTTTCAAAAAAAAAAAAAACATAAAATGTCTCTTCTTCTGAACTTTCTGCTTTTAAGGCATTCTCTGACTGCACCATCAAGGATGGTGTGTATAATCCAGGGGACACTGTGGATATTCAGTTTGAACCATCTTTCAAGCTCTGCTGTGAGGCCAGAGGAAATTGTACGCTTTGTCTTTTCATAGACACAGAGGTCAGCATTCCTACGGAGGTGGAAAATGAAAGCCACTCTGGCGATGATGAGGAAGAATACAGTGAGAACACAAGGAATGAAAAGTGTAAGATTTTTTTTAAATCCAGTTCTTTTTTTTCTAAGCTGCAAGCATATTTATCTTTGTTGTTGTAATAGTAACAGTAATAACCTATATATGATTTTGAGTCAAGTTACACCATTCTCTTTAATCATAATATTAACAATATCATATTATCTACTGCATTTCCAAATTTCATCAATATTAATGTGTGCTATACTAGTTTTTAAATAGTTTTTCAAAGATCCAATAGACAACTGCACACCAACAACATTATTGCTATATTTGTTTCACATTTATTTTATTGTCCCAATTATACAAAAAAAAATTCTCTTACACACTTTCTACTTTTTTAAACACATTTAACTCACATCACCTCAACTCCCTGCCACTTCTAGAAACAGTCATCAATAAATCAACGCAGAAGAAAATTGAAATTGATCAAGTAGAGAACAAATTCTGGAGACACTCTTGCCTTTGATATATCTGCCAGATAACAGCTGCTTTCCACAATTTACACGCAAGAGCAAAGTGTTAGTATTACAATTAAAAGTGGCTCTGCCAGTCAGGTCTGAACTTTTCTTCATCACTGAAGGGATGCACATATTGGCATCCTGTTCAAGTTTGCCTTTCACGGTTTAATCATTGTTCACAACGAAAAAATATTTACACAGGCATGTGGATGTGAAAGGTATGCATAGGCTACTTTTAATGATTCTTCAGAAAGTTGGATGAACTCTTTCCTCAACAGACTGCAACAAATTTAAGGCTAGCTAAGTTGGCTGTATGCAGTTTGCTAATATGAATGAAGATAATGATTGCAAAAAAGTCAAAACTGCTAAGCAAAAACAATTCAAGCTCCAGATCAGAAAAAAAAAAAAAAACTGGAAAAATCTTCAGCTAAAGGAAGGAGACCTAAGAGCCTGCAGAGAAGATTATACAATGTTTTTGAATACGTTTCCCGGAGCATAAATACATCTTAAACTTTAAGGACAGCAGCTGGAAAGGACCAGGATGGAGAGCCACTGAATTACCGTGTTGCAAAACAAATTTTGGCTTTATATGATTCAGAGGCTGATATTTTCAATTAGAGAACTCAATTTTATCTCAACCACAGTCATTAGGATGGCCAGAGAGATCCAACAAAACTATAGAAATCTCACTGTCATCAAGCTGCAAATAGAAGTGGTCCCCAAATCTCTTTAAAAGACAGTTATTTTTTAAGTTTCTTTACACACCTTTACCAGAGAGGGCAATTGTCAAAGACCCCACCCAAGTTTTAAGATAACCGTTTTCTGAGATCACTTACACTGCAAAAAATCAAAATCTAAGTAAGTCATTTTTTTTACTAATGCATTTTTTCTTAAACTGAGCATGTAAGTGAGACACATTGCTAAGGGTAAGCCAAGAACATTTATATTCCAAGTAAGAAAGAAACAATGTATGTCTCTTATTTGAAAAAAGGAGTATTAAAAAATGCTTACAATGTCTTGAATCAGACAACAAAATAAAACAAAAAGATCCTGAAGACATCCAGTTCTCAATCTCAGCCAAATGATCTAGTCTATGTATAATTTCATAGGTAAAAACATAGCAGAGGAATAAAGCTCAGCTGGCTTGAGTTTTGTTTTGTAGGTCAGAGGCAGTAAGTTGCATAAAAAGACACTCTCTCTGTCCTACACTGTGCTCAAGTAAACCTTTAAAAGTGATGCAAGTTTTACACAAGCTTTATTTGAATATATCAATCATTCCAATGCTGATTCAGTCCAAGTATAACTTCATGCTCTGTTTTTACAGCGTCTGTGACAATATGCTACCAGCAAGCAGCCAGCACTGTGCCAATATGCAAGAAGGTGGAGTTTACTGTTAATTACCCAATTCTTACTCACCAGAACAAGAGCAAGGTACTGTACCATAAATTTCCATGAACTTTGTAATCCTGCTAAGTGTTTGATCACACCCAGGTACATAATTTCAAACATGTTTCACCATCTTATCTTAACAGATTTCAATGGTGATCACAGATGAATTCCATTTTAGCAGCAAATTATCTGTTTATCCCAACAAATTAAATTCCCCAAAGAAAGAAGTTGTTGCTCCTTCAGAGGAAAAAGGTAATTTGTGCTTTAATTGCAGTTCTATCTCAGCTTACATCAAGGTGTAGCAGAAACATCAGATTTTTCTGTTGCAGTCTGTAGCAATGCCTGCCAGGGCATTGCTTCACTGAGAAGTCTCAGTTGCATAACACGAAACCAAGTTATCCCTTTTAAGCAGCAGGTCACTACATGTGCATCTACATCATACAAATCCCTGTCTGTTCGCAGTGTGTTCCCAGAAGCTTAGGCAGAAATATATACCCGTGTGTCCAGGTAAGCAAAAAGAAAAGCAAATACCTTGGGCAATTGTGGATTTTTGTGTGTTATATGTCTGTGTACAGTATATCTTTAGAAAATATGACAATAGTTATTTTTCCTTTTTTTCAGTTCAGAAATTCCTCATCAATCATGTTTTAAAGGAAAATCACATTGAGCTGCAGATTGAGGGCAACAACAAGTCCCCTCCCTCTCTGTGTGTCAAATACGAGGAGAACGGACACTGCCGGGTTAGTGCTACTCCTGAGAAACTGCCCCTTGAGAGAAAAGGATAAGTTAATCAGAGAAATGCAATGAGAGAAAATTAAATGTTTAAGGAATATTAGCTTACATATTCTCAAGAATATATACAAGCAAATATGTATCAATTCACAATAAGAAGAATATAAAAAAAAACAAAGTTAAAACTTTTATGCTACATATTTCTGTTTTAGACATGCACACATTTTAATGTTGCCTTTTCTGTTCATTTCTTCTAGATTAGATAGTGATCTATTATCACATGATAAAACAAGATCAATCTGATAAACTCTTGAGCCACCATAGTGTTAAGCATAAAATATGAGAAATTTTATTTGTAAACTCGCGAAGACAACTCAAAAGCATCTTTACTGTCTTTGCAAAATAAGTCAGTAATTGTTGTTTTATGTTAGTTGCATGGGTGTGAAATCATTTGTTGTTAGATTAGGGAATTGTTCTTTTAAAAAACTGCTGAACAAGAAGGAGTTTTGTGGTACAGTAAAGCTCTGACTGATGATTATGAAGCTATTGAAGTAGTTTCTAAAGTAAATTTTTCAGCTCCTTGCAAACGACAATAACTACTAGTTAAAAAGACCAACAAATTTCTGAAAATATATCTTTAGCTAGATTTAACTAAATTAATGATTGTTTTTAATAATTCATGTTTGTTTTTTTCAAATACACTCACATCAGTGGCTTTATACAAAGTCTTCGACAAATAACAAAAGGTGAAAGGTTTAGGAGAATTGTTTACCTTTCAGCCAATAACAGCTGTCTGATTAGAACGTCTAATGCTGCAATATGTATCATGGACTTAGACAACTTTGATTGTCATTTTGTATACACAGATTCTATACAAAAAAGTGCATCAGTGATCAAAAGTAAACAGGGTGGGAGAAAAAAAACATGTTGAAAAAATGCATTGATATGGAAGTTCAGAGAATATATATATGGTACAAATAAGCACTTTGGTGTTATCAGTGTGATGCAGAAATTGTTACATGATTTTGAGTTTTTTTAAACAGTTCAACAGTCTGAAATCTGATATTGAGCTGCATAGAAATGTATATTATTTCTGCTTTATCTAATTCATTATCTACAGTACCTTCAGAATTAGCATTACCCCTTCTACCTTTTTACATTGTGTGATACTACAAACCTGATTGTATTTTATTCATAATTTCTCTAAAAAGATCAACACAAAGTAGCCTATTACACAACTGTCATGAGGAAGGAAAAACATGGATACATAGCTTTTTTTTTTTGTTTGTTTCTTTGTTTTTTGTGAATAAAATCTGAAAGGTGCGGTGTGCATATTTTTTAACCCCCTAATTCGACACATTGTGAAACCTTTTTTTAGTATTACAGCTATAAGACTTTCAGGGTGACCCCTAGTGTGAAAGCTCAGGTTTAGTCAGACTGGATGTATGGTATTTGTTATTATAAAGTATAGCTGCTTTGCAATTGATCCTTTTCAATACCCCAGAATGTATTTTAATAGTTGTTAACAAATTACCAATACATTCTGCATTCCTGTTGTAACCATGTCAACACCAACAACTTTAATTTGCATCATTTTGTTCTTTTTTTAAATAGAGGCTGACCCAGACCATCATTCATCTGTCCTCCATTGCCCCGTGCATGTGCATACAGGTTATCACACTTTTCTCTTTAGAAAAAACAAATTCCAATTTTTTTTTTTGTTTGTTTTTTGTTTTTTTTTTCATTTATGATGAAACATATTTGTGATGATTAGGCATGGGATGAAGATGATTTGGGACCTTGGCGCACTCAAACGTGCCCCTTTAACAAAACAGGTAACATAAATTGCATTGAAATGTGTCTCATTCCTGCAACAACAATGTCGGATAAGTAATCTATAATGTATACAATCTATTTACTTCTTCTTGTTTTAAGGATTGCCATCTGAATTAAAACACTTGATGTGGAAGAATATATCTGTGAATGTGCGTCTGAGTAAAATATTCGACGGGAGCTCAGTACTTTTATGGAACCTTACTGCCCCCTGCAGGCTGACTGGTGAAGTGTCGCTCTGTTATAAAGCAAGCATCTGCAAGGGGGGAAATAAGGAAAGGCAGGCCATTAATGCTGTGAGCAAATGGAGACAGAACAGCAAGGACGTTTGGGTAAGAAGGGCCTAACTACTGTTCTGCAATTATCTGAATATGTTTGTCTTTCTTTGAAATACAAATGATGCTCTCCCAAATGCAGTCATGATTAAGTTATTTTATCTCTACCATTGTTATGGAGTTGATAAACTACTTTTAGTACCTATTTTTTTTTAATATAATTCTACATATATTGTTGCAAGGGTCATGTTTATTTAACTGAATGCTCTGTAAAACTTCAAATTTTTAGAAAAGTTGGTAATCTGGTAATGCAAAAGTCTGGATTGGTATAAATGTGTACAGGATCAGTGATAGGTGTCCTTTCTGTCTCATTTAGGAAACACAAGGTGCATTTGAAAATGTTGATGAATGGATATCTCAGTGTGTGATGGTAAAATGTTTTCACCAGTTCTTCATTCATATATCTGTGTACAACAAACTTGCAAAGTTTTTGCTGATAATGTCACAATTCTTTTATTAATATCTCCAGGTGAAAATAAAAGGAGCACAGCAGGAATTTGGTCCATTCTGTGCTTTTGACAGTAAGTTGGAAATGGTTAGGTGTTATATATGTTGTCATACTTTTTATGCAGTTTGAAAGGATACATTTTTTTTTCTCAGAAAATAAATTTTTAAGTGTTTCATAATCATTTTTTGGGGGGGTTGTATTTTTTGCAGCTGGTAGATTCCGCTGGACCCTCCTGGTTGTTGGTGTTATGCTTCTTGTTTCTCTAACTGGACTAATGATTTATTTTCTTCGTGATTATGTAAAAAGTAAGTTTCCATTTTCTTTTAACCTCTCATGTTATAAGGAAACTCTTTGGTTATTTGGGGTTACTCTTTATTTTAAAATATTGCAAAAAATAATGTCCAGAAAAACGTAAAGATGGTCTAACTTATCAGCAGTATAATAGTTTACTATGTCCTTATAAAACATTGACTGGTTTATTATTGCAAATTATACAAAACCTACTTTCAGTCTGAAAGTCTCATCATCAACCACATAATGTTTATTAGAAATCTCCGCATCACACTTTCTGAAGCGTCAAATATGATACAAACAATAAAAATAAATTGTCAATCTGCTAAACTGCCAGGTATATTTACTGTGACATCTCTGACTTTTATAGAATGGGCATGGAGCTGGCGACACGGTGGATTTGTAAAGAGTAAGTTTTTTTACATGTAAAACTTTACATTTATAATAATTCAAGACATTTCTGAATTTGGTTTTCTTTTCATCTTCAAGTTGGCAAAAAGGGGCATGTGGTGCTGCTCAGCCCCCCAGACGTGGATAAATCAGTTTCAGAATCAATTTGTCAGCTGGGTACTCAGCTCTGCAGCCAAGGGTTCAGTGTGTCTGTGGACCAGTGGTGCAGGAGGGATCAATGCACAATGGGACCTTTGCCATGGCTCTACTCCCAACTGCAGAAGCTGGACACTATGGGTGGTCGAATTCTGCTTGTTCTAAACCAGAAAGCCCTTGAAAAAACCGAAGAGTGGACCCTCCTGAACCAAGACAGAGAAGTAGGGGATCAACAACAGACAAGGTCGACTTATTCTGATCTATTTACAGCTTCGCTGTTCATCATTCAAGCCCACAAGAGGCTGGGCACGGCGGCTGATCGCTTTGTTCTGGTGAAAGTTGACTCTCCACAGAGACAGACTCACAGCAGTGACAGGAGGCTTCCAGAGTTGCTTCAAGGTCTCCCTTTATTTTGGCTCCCGTCTCAGAGCCACTCACTCGCAGCTGAGCTGACTGTGGTAGAGACAAACATGGAGGCAAGGTAAAAGACACAGAAAGGTTGGAAGGGGGAGACTTGAAACGGATTAATATGAAGACCATAATACTAAACATTTACAAATAATGATTTTAAACAAATATTTGTGAGCCTAAAAGAATGTAAATATTGCTACAGAACAGGGTGGGCATGAAGGAGATTGTCATCTGGACTGAATATGAGATAAAAGAAGAATCTTTAAGTGCTAATCTTTTCTAAATTACATTACAGCTTAGAACTCTATATGCAAGGGTCTGATGACAAATTTAAAGTAGATACTTGTATTGAAAAAGTCTTGTTTTGTTATAAATCCAGACTGGTTGATCAAAGTAATGGCTAGTCTGACAGAGTCCCAAACCAATTTAGACTTTGGCTATCTTAAATTAATTATAATTTTTAAACTCCAAATCAGTTTAAGCAATTGATAAATCTTTCAAATTTAATTACTGGCATTGGCCAGTTATTTGTAGAAAAGCACATATTCTAATACAATTGTAAAAGTTGAGAAGTGCGCCACAAAATGGGTACAGAAAAAAAAAATTATAAAAGGTAACGTGGTGTAAAAGTAGTATTTACTGCTCTACTTTTATATAAGACAGCTTGAGTGGAAAAGCTTTATCCGTATTTAGTACATTTCACACAGGAAAATTATGACAATAAGCTGAAATAATTAGGGTTACCAAAAATGTTATGATGACGTTTCAAAATTAGATTTTTTTTTTCCAGAACAGCCCCTTTTGTTCTTGGCTCCTCTAGGGGGAGCTGTTAGCTTCATCTTCTAGGACTATTTCACACTTTTGCTAAATGGATTGCTATTATTTTCTCCAGTTTACAGGCTTTTAACAGAACCTACTTCATTATCATGAACTGGGCCTTTAATTATATGTTTATAATTCAGTAAATATAATGGAAAGGCTGGCCTTGCTTTTATTCCTTTGCTGGAAATCTGAAAGTGTCTTTTGAAGTGAGGAAAGTGCAGAAATTTTAAATACATTTGAATAACAGTGTAGTAATTCAATTATGTATAAAAAGCAAGATTGTAATAAATAAAATGTATTTTTACTGTACATAAATTGTAAATATATATTTTTTTAACTTAATTTTGGTCTATAACCTTAAAAGTTATAAAATGACCTGACAACTCATTTTCCAAATAAATAGCATCAATATGACTAGTTTATCTTTAAGATGAAAATTTTTTTAACTTACATGTTTAAAATGAGCACCCTAAGCCTGAGTGGATTAGGTACTAATACTAGATATTTTTAAGGCAATCCAGGGGGGCGGTGATAAGAAATACGGCTGCTGATCAGAGGCCCCGCTCTGATAGGTAGTTTGGTGGCAGTTTACCTTCAAATAGATCATGTCTAAAAGGTGGATCCGTCCAAGAAGGTAAACAGTCATAAAATACGCTTTTATTGACTGTGAATGTTGCTTTAGTATCAGTTTTTCTGTAAATTAATATTTGTCTTTATTTTGCTATTTTAAGTGATGCACTATCCAGTAGTCATATACTTGTTCTTTGAGTTTATTTAAAATGTTTTATCCAGTTTCCATGTTGTGCCAAAGGCTACTGTTTTATATTATCTTGTTGAACTTTTGCTTTGTTTATTGTTTACAAGTAATGTATTTATAATTGAAGGCTTACTGTAAGACTGGAAAGAGTCAGGGAAGCCTGCAATGCCAACGCGTATTTTAATATTCTAAAAAGTATTGGTACTGATTGATTTGATTGATCTTCTGTACTTTATAGCCTAGACTCTTCATAACCTTCTTTTCAGACACTAAATAAACCCCACTTCAATAGATCAAATATATGAATTCCCTGTGTAAAACACATTATTTACAGTAAATAAATTGTCTTCAAGCCTATATTTTCATTTTTTATGATTTTTTTCACTTAAAGATAACAAGAAATTAAAGATTACAATAATAAATTGGATTAAAAAAGTTAAAATAGTTCATTTTAAAGGGCATTTTTAATTCGTTGAGCAAAAATAACTGTGATAATATTCTAACAAGCCCACTTTAGACTCGAAATCCTGAGGGGTCCATATGCACATGGTGGCTGGGTGTTAACTCTGGGGGTTTGTCATCAATGTTGAACCTTTACCATGCATAATGTAGAGAGATATTATCAGATGACAAATTTAAGCTGATGTAGATAAATTTGTGTAAAAATTAGCTACACACCAAATTCCTGGAAATAACATATTTAAAGAGAGTGTTCCTTTGTTTCATGACTGTTATGCAACTTTAAAATGGAATTCTGATGTTGAAACAGCAGGAAAGAAAATACTCAGTTCCCCTGAAATATGACATGGCAATTTTAAATATTTAATTAAATTTTGAACTTTATTGATCTCACATTGGAGAAATTGAGCTCTGCATTTAACCCATCCACTTGGGACCAAGAGTGGCAGTCTGTGGGAGTGGGGCTCAAACCCATAACCTCAGGATTCCAAGCTCTATTCACTGAACACTAGTCCGCCACTCCCCTCTGAACATGAAGTATGGTTCAATAATAGTCATATTGAATCTATGTCATTTACAAATGATAGAATAGTTTCTTGATCTCATATTTAGACTGTATTAAAAGTAGAACTTGTTTTTGAAACTCACAGGTGCCCTCACATCTAAATCCTCCTTGTTGTTAAACAACTACTAGAAACTGAATTATCTTGATTTGATAGGTAAATTGTCTGCATTTATACGGCACCTTTCAGGTAAGGTTACTCCAAAGCTCTTTACATTACATCTAGTCATTCACCCACTGATGGTGGAAAGCTATACAGGCACCCAGGGGCACGCTGACGGAAGCGAGGCTGCTGTATACAGACATCACCAGGCCCTTGGATCACCATCAGTAGGCAGTGTAGCGATATGTCTTGCCCAAAACACAACAGCAAAGACAGATTGAGCTGGGGTTTGAACCACTGGCCCACATGTTACAAGACATTGTCATGATATTCTGGTGCCAGCACTTTACTGCAGAAGTTGAATGCAATCCATGTGCATATGTGGGTTCTGCTCCAAAGTCTGAGTATATTCCTAAAATCTGAGTATCATCAAATTATCGTCCGATAATTTGTTCTCTTTACTCGTTTATTAGGTTTTGTGTGAGATGGTGGTTCTTGTTTTAGTTTGGTAATCTTATTGCTCTTATTGTTTTCATCATGCTTTCCCTGTAACACCTACGGTAGTGGCCATTCATAATTTCTCCACTTTCCTTGATGGCTGCTTGGCTAGTCCTAAACAATTCATTTTTAAGGATCTAAAATATTCTTTCTGTCATGATTTGTGGACATTAAGATCTAAAGAGAAGCGTTATCTTCTGCTCAGACCCTGTAATTCTGTGAAAGGGTTGAGTCAAAGTAAAAAAATATACACGCCCATGAGAAGGCCAGTGGCTGGAATCTGACTGGGAAGGGACATTTTGAATTGCTGCTACTGTTAGTTTTTTTTTTTCAACTTTTAGAGTTGATTTGATCATGTTTAGTTTTGTTATTAAAATTAAGCTTGTCCCCCTTGTATTTAATGGCATTTTGCCATTCACATAAGTTGACCCTACCATTTATTTAGTAAATATGTAGGCCAACCACTTGTTCCCATGACAGCAATCACTCTTCTCATAATATGAATGCATTGTTTTGTTAAAAGCTTTGCCAAGTTGGTTCTTCCTGCTTTTTGTGCTGTAGTTTTGCTCTGTAAGTTAATTCTGTCTCGTTTAAATTATGGTCTACATTTGATCATGCAAGGATTGCTGGACCATCGAGTCTTATGGACTTGCCAATGACACAAATGCTGATCAGCTGATGGCCTGTTCTTAGTTGTAATTGCATTAAGAAAGCACTATTTAGTGTCGCAAGAGAATTTAATTGTGCATTTGAGGTAGTGTTACATGGACGTGAGAAGATTAAGACCTATTAAAAAACTTTTTGAGATCACTTTAATAAACTAATGGCTTCATGACTTTTTAATACCCAGTAGAAATCCTGGTGGAATGACAACTACAATTACCTTTATACAATTTGTAACCATGTTATACATGATTTATACTGATTTCATAGCCAACAACTTGAATTAGTTTTTTTCTAACTAAGGCAGTTTAATGAAAGGAAATGTGTGTCTCTTTTTGTATAGAAATCCAGCAGGAAACTAAATAAATTTTTTAAATAATTATATTACATAATAGTTTTGGCCTGTAAAATAATAACAGCAATTTATGGAAAAAGGTGGTAATATAAAAATAAAAAACATTAACATTTTTATTTTCTTAAATCTCTAGAGAATGTCAAAACACTGAACTGGCAAAATAAAATGAACCGATTTGCAATGGCTATATACAATGAGGCAAACCAAGTAGGAAATCACCAACAAAGACAGAAAGAAAGTCAACTTTATTTGATGGATATAAACAAGCTGGCCAACACTCACTATTATTATTCTGGTACAGCACAGACAATAGCAAACCGGGGCACTAAGGACAGCCTCCTATTGTTAAAAAAAGCAAACAAAACAATACATATTATCCATGCGTCTTTCAAAGCTTGCCCACATCTTTTCTGAAACAGACTGATAAAATTTTCTCTTTTAAATAAATTGATCTTTTTGATTTATAACACACACCCTGTTATCAGCACTCACACACAAACACCCCACACGCATTGCCCTCTTTTTCTGATTGCAATTACACCAGCAACACGCCCTTACCTGAAAAGAAACATGCTGCGCTCTCACAAAACTGCACAGGCTGTCTACTAAGGGGACACAGTAAGTGAGACACACTTCACTCTCCAACACGATGTCACAATGCACAATGCGGATGCAAGTAATGAATGAGGACTGAGCTGTAGCAGCTCACATTCACACAAATGATCATTCAGCATGCTGGACTCACATTGAATTGTTCCTAGATCTGTCACTGTACAGCTCAAAACATTTACCTATACAAATGGTACTGTCTCAAACTGGTATTCCTAAACAAGCCTAAATCATAGCAAAAATAAAGCTTAACTTAAATACAAAAAAAATATGATAAAAAAATTAAAAACTTGATGCTTGCTTTGTAAAATAAAGACATTTCTGGCATTAATCACAGTGATCTGTTCAATCAAAAATATCCAGCAACAAAATAACAACAAAGAGAAACTTGTTTTTAGCAAAGAAAGATAAAAGTATGCTTGGCTCTCTGTAGCTCTTTTGAAGGCCTTTTAAATATGACTAGTGAATTTATACAGCTGTTTCTAGGCACAGATAAAGAATTTCCTAATTGCCTTTCATCTGAGTACAGAAAGCAATCCCCAACCTTCAAGTTCGATGTCTTTTTCGCTTTTAGTTATTTCTTTCAATATTTTTTTTTTGACACGACAATAGAGCAATCACTGCATAGAGTACAGCAGATTAAACGTACATCATCACCTTCAATTGGCACATCATGTAAAAATCAGCATGCATGGGCACAATTAAAATATTCCATGTTGTCGACTATTTAAATTATGTATGCTATATCATGGTAGGAAAACTCCCTACTTCAAGTATTCAGTAGATAAGGACCTGAAAATGGAGGATTAGTACTCCACCCCTGATGGTGAAGTAAGAGGATTTATGCTCCTCTGTCTGTCTGCGCTCTTTCCCAACAATAAAAAAAGGCCTTTTTAATCAACATTTGTAAACAAACAACAACATAGTCTGTAATCTGTTGGTTCTTGTTCAGTTACAGGAGCTGCTTCAGTGGGAATCATAGGCGTAAAAAATTATTAGTGAATCACCTTGGTGTGAGGAGATGGAGACATGTTTGTTTACAAACACCAACACAGACACCGGTAGGGTCAAGGAAGGAGGAGGGCATTAGTAACAGTCAGCTTCACTTTCTCATAATACTGTAACAACATGATGGTTTTTCTACCTAAATCAGTTGTTATGGTCACACATACATCACCACTTCAGTTTACATGACAACGACAAATACACAAAGGAGAAATGCATCCAGACAGAGTCACTGAAACCTCTTTTTGGAGGATACTGTCCTCATTTACAAGTGCAAGCCTCTTGCCTGCTGAGTGCAGCAGAAATAATCTAACTGCTACCCGTGAGAGCTACAGCCCAAAATAATAATAAAAAAAAATTTACTTAAAATTGTTACCACAGGTTAAAGTCTTCAACTGAGCTGATTTAATGTTAAAGCGATTGTTGGGAATTGTCTAAATAGAATTCCAGGCAATTGTTATCAGCAGTCGGATAATACATTGCTAATTTACTTTTACAGATGACCTGTTTTTGTGTTTTTTTGCCTTTCATAAATGTCTCAGGTTGTGAAAAAAATCTTATCAAATAAGGAAAAGTGGACATAAATAATATTTTGTCAAATGAGTTTCTGAAGCTGTATTGAGGGGAACAAAAGCTGTCTAAACCACACTGATTCTTTGTGCAAAGTAATTGAAAGAAAAAAAAAAAAAAAGAAAAAAAAACATAATTAACTTGTAGTAACAACAAGTTAAGTTAATCACTCCAATCTCAAAATTTATTACTTTTTTTCTAAGCATTTATATAAAACTACATTTCAGAATTAACGCAGGGGTTGAAAACAGGGGGCGATCAAATATTTTGCCCTTTAGGGCTTTTCCCTAAATGTTCCGACTTTATGGGAAAATTATTTTTTAGGTAGGTTGAGAAAAAGCAAAAAGCATATTGTGTATGACAGTAATTCTACATTTAGGTACCCCCCTGAAAAACAAATCTTATACGACACCCACACAATGTGTAAAATTATAAACCAAGTTGCATTCAATTCAATCTCTGTAAATTGTTCATAGATTATTTAAAAAAAGTATTTTAACTATATATTTTTTTCTGTATTACCTCTTCTATTAAAAATTAAATGCCATCATTGACAAAAAAACTCAGAGAAACACACCCTGCTGCAAACATAATAACATACGTCTGTGGAAAACAACGTTTATTATAAAATTTTTATTATGTAAGAGTTAATTAGATGGCATTTACACATACTGCAGTAAAGTTTTTGATAAAAGTAATTGATAAGCCAGAACAAACAGCTGGGAAACTGGACCAGTCAGACGAGTTGTGATCATGGCTCTTATTTGAAATAACGTCCTGCTCCAACTTTAACCTTATTCAGTCAGGTATACTGTAAATTACAGTTTAGTGTCCAACTGTTGATATCAATTCCACAGAAACCATTTAAAAAAACTCCCAACTATCCCTTTAAAGGAATGTAATATTGACAGTTTTTCTAGACCATTAGATAAATTTGGGTAGAATTCCCCCTAAAGTGAAGTTCTGAAATTTATGGAATAATCATTTCTTTTACTGAGCTGGTCTGTATTTCCAGACAGGGAATGTTAAATTGCTGCTGAAGGGTTTATTCACAGCATAACAATGTGAGGACAATCTCACAACTAAATGAAATATCTCTGACTTCCAGCCAGTTATAAAAATAACCATAAAAAAATGTAGTATATCTTTTTAGTTTGAAATATTTTTCTGACCACATATAGACACACTCTATAGATATATCTCTATATGTATAATATATGCATATCTATCTTATGTATACAGATTCGACGAGGCACAGACCACCTTGTTGAGAAGGAGAAAACAAGTCACTATGTGGGGAGATCATACAGGCTACTGCTGGAAGAATATGAAAGAAGGGAGAGGGCTTATAGTGAAGCTGGGGTGTTACTGGAATCACTTTTATCTGAAGAGAAAACATCTACTTCGCTTCACAGTCTATTCTGAGGCTTTTAGTAGTCATATTTCTTGAGAAAATGTTTGATCGTTGTTCACAAAGCCCCACGTTTTAACCTGTACATATAATATACAAAGCAGTTTTGTACTGTTGTTTATGAAGCCCATTGTGGGAGCAAGTCCCTCTAATGTAAAAGGACAAAAAGATGCTCTATTTAGATCTTCTGACACCATTTAGTTTGAGCACCAGCAGAAGCACCATAAGTGAAAGTTCCTGTCAACACAGAGGAGGTGCATAGTCTCAAAAAAATCAAAAGAATCCAATGAATATCTTCTGACCGCTTTTCTTGGCAGCTCTGATTGGTCTAATACAATTGGAATTTATTTAAATATACATGGAAAAATAAAAATGCACTCTCTATGTTGATATCTGCATAGACTGATAATTTTCTCTTTACTATTTATAACTGAAATGAGGTAATGTGGAGAAAAAAATGCTGATAGGAGCCACTACCTTGAAGCTTAATCTTGATCCTAAAACCAGTGGTTTGCACAGTCCCTCAAGGTGCTCCATAAGTTCTTCCTTGTGCTAACGAAGAATTGCAACAGAAAATCTAAAGTGACTCAAATGTGTTAATAAGCTTGTCAATGTAGACATCATCATTAGAGGAAGAAATGCCTAATGTGTGACCAGTTCTCAAATAACTGTTGTCTATGAAATAGACAACAGAAGACACTCTTAGGGTTTTTAGGGATAAGCTGAGGGGTCAGATCAAAACTGAGAGTCAGGCCTACGAGCCGGTCAGAGCTTTAGGTTAAAGAGGCAGCAAGACAATTTTTAAAATCAACATGGTTTGATGAGAGAAAAAAGGGGTCATTCAGCAGGTGATGGACAGGTGAGGTGACTTCTCTGACACCGCTACTGCAGGGTTGCCATGGTAGCCATGTCTGTTAAACCAGTAATTTGTCCTCAGTGCTTCCATTGGCACATCATTTGGAGGATGGTCTTCCTGTTCACACAAAGCGAAGGCCTCACCTCACCTTGTGAGGAACACAAAGCAAAATATGGTTGGAAAACAACAAATTAGCACTGAATATGTCAATGTCGTTATATCACAATATGGTGGTATCAACTAAAGCAATCTAGATACAAGGCAAATAAAACTATGCAGTCAATAAATCCTGTTCTCTAGAGGTGGCACAAAGGTGGGAAAAACATGAAGGACAGGAAGCACAAAATGCAGAGAATGTTATGACATAGCTGAAGTCTGTCAGAAAGATAACATGCACCCTATCATATCAAATCTTTATCAGCTGGTTTAGTCCATATTAATGGCCTATGTTGATGGCCTTCATTAGGAAGATACCACTTCTGCAGCATCTCATGCTCTGCAAATGCAAGCAGTTACCTTTACAACTCTTAAAACCTGTATAACCCAGCTGTTGCAATATATACCGACGTCATTATGGATAGAGATATATTAGTAGACATCTGAATGTTCCAGAGAACACATTTAGACTTTTAGACAGATTTTATTTGTCATTTTGTTTACACAAGTGTAAAACAAAACTAAATGTCAGCTCACTGGACAATTTCATCTTTTTAAAAGTGCAGCCTTGAAAAATAGTAAAAATGAC